GTCCTGCCCTGAAAGAAAAAAAGCCACTCAGCTGTTTCGTCCCTGAGCTCCAGCATCCAATCACTTTTCAGAGGGAGGGGATAGAATATGGGAGGGAAGCCTGCAACCGGTCTTCATTCAGGTCTGCCTCAGGGAGAGGGCAGTGATAGTCTGGGTCTACCTCAGCAAGAGAGCAGTTTGAAGGGCTGCTCTGCCTGTTAGCTTGGCAGAGTGGTTTCGCTCTACCTCCAGTTAATGACAGAGTACCAAGTTGTGAGTCCTCTCTCTGATGACCAGCAGACCTCTCATACCATTTGGTCTGACTCTTGGCAAAGGGCAGGCTGGTGTAGGTGGAATCCTGTGTTCATGGATAGTAGTCAGTGAAAAACTCCTGACTACCTGCAAGTATTAAAGAGAATTCAGACAACACTCAGAAAGCCATAACTAGCTCAAATTTATGTGCCTCAACCAGGTTTCTCCTCAGACTACCTGGAGACCTGTGCTGCTGATCTGTTCTTTTAAAAACAACCTATAAATAAATACATATTTGTTATTTACATACAACTCCTGCCTCACTGATCTCCGGGGTCTTCTTGCTCACCACAAAACTTACCTCACATCAGTGAACCCAAAGCCTTTACACTTGCTGCCCTAAGTACATCTTGTAACTGAAGGGGAGGTTCTTGTCTCAAAACAGAGCTGGTTTCCCAAAATTATAAGATGCTGTGTGAGTCCCCTCGGTAAGAAGGGCCTGTCACACAAAACTCCTGACTACCTGCAAGTATTAAAGAGAATTCAGACGACAGTCAAAAAGCCATAACTAGCTCAAATTTATGTGCCTCAACCAGGTTTCTCCTCAGACTACCTGGAGACCTGTGCTGCTGATATGGTCTTTAAAAACAACCTATAAATAAAAAAAATGTTATTTACATACAACTCCTGCCTCACTGATCTCCGGGGTCTTCTTGCTCACCACAAAACTTACCTCACATCAGTGAACCCAAAGCCTTTACACTTGCTGCCCTAAGTACATCTTGTAACTGAAGGGGAGGTTCTTGTCTCAAAACAGAGCTGGTTTCCCAAAATTATAAGATGCTGTGTGAGTCCCCTCGGTAAGAAGGGCCTGTCACACAATCCTATTTAAAAAATAAATAAATCTAAAAGGTAGATTTATTGATACGTCATAGCACAGAAGGAGCTGTGGTGGCTCAAGTGGTTAAGACGCTGAACTGCAGGCTGTGGAAGGTCACTAGTTCAGCAGTTCGAGACCCAGGGTGCCGCATGACGGAGTGAGCTCCCGTCTCTCATTCCAACTCCTGCCAACCTAGCAGTTCGAAAGCAAGAAATTGCAAGTAGATAAATAGGTACCACCGGTGGGAAGGTAACAGCGTTCCGTGCGCTTTGGTGTTTAGTCATGCCGGCCACATGACCACGGAAACGTCTTCGGACAGCGCTGGCTCTTCGGCTTTGAAACGGAGATGAGCACCGCAACCCTAGAGTCAGATTCGACTGGCTTTCGAGCAAGGGAACCTTTACCTTTACCTTTACATAGCACAGAGTTCCAAAGCACTCCCAAATGGGCCAAACCAACCAAATAAACCATCATCTTTCAGATTTAGTGACCTTTACAATGGCTCACACCACACCTCAAGGTGACAACAGGGTCCAGTTTGTTAGGGCATAAACCAAAGTTGACCTCTCTTTTGAAGTCACTTGAACTTTTACTTGGCTCTTGGGATGTTTGTGAACTGGGCACTACTGATATATGCTGGAATAATGCACCCGCATCAGCTGTTGCCAATGCAAACCCTCATGAATTGGAACTTCTTGTTCATTGTTTAAAAGCATCTTGAAATAACATGGCATCCTTAATGTAATTTGCCCTCGCATGAGCTGCAGTTAACAGCTTCAGTTGTCCCTGATTTTTTTAAATAGTGCTTCATATACCATGTGATTTATAATCCCTTGGGTTTTTTTTAAATACTGCTTCATATACCATGTGATTTATAATCCCTTATCTTGTGGGCCTTAGCCGTTACCTTGTGAGGGAGATCATGTAAGGCCTGGGGACAGAAGAGGCAGTGTATGGTTGGCAGCAACGACCACCCTGCAACAGATGCCAAGAATGAGGGTGGGCAAAACACCTAACTTCATCCTGGTCTACATATAGAGCAGAATGAGGGAGAGTAGACTGTAGGAGTTCATGCTGTAGGTAGGGATCAGCATTCTTGAACACCTTCCCACATTAAAAAAACCCCTCCCTGCAAGTGAGTATCTATCACAATAGGGGTAAATATCTTTGCCCTTAATGTGCTAGCTTTCTGCTTGCAGAGCAGTGGAGGAGAGGAGTCACGGGGACATGTCTACCAGCTAGATAAGATCTGGGCTGAGCATCTGTTTCCCTTCCTTTTACAGGTATTTAAAAATAGGTGTGACCAGAGACTAGAGTCTTGGTTCTCCAATGGTAGTAGGTGATGTGACAGACCCCCTACCTTGAATGGGCCAGCCCCGTGGAGCTACAAGGAGCCCAGGATGTTGATGTAGGACAGTATATTTTTGTTGTTTATTTGTCTACATTATGTTTTTGTCCTTTGGGAGTAAAGTCCCCATTGAGGAGAAAAGCAGGATAGAGATGCTTAAATAAACAAATAATAAACGAAATACCGGTAGTTCATTTAAATGTAGACCTTTGACAAAATGTGATTCTCACCTGCAGTCTGAAGGGGATACAGTCCAGTCTTTCTACTCATTTCCACCTCACTCTGCAAGTGCAGACCAGGCCTCAGACTTCTTAAGTAAGTAAATAAATAGAAGAACTATTTTTTTCCCCCTGCTTAAAATGCCCATTCCCTTAAAGTTGCTTTTGGCCTGGTTGGGGAAAATCTACACACACACACACACACACACAAACACACACGTGTTTAATTTAACCAGGGCTAAAAGTAGGAGCTGCGGTGGCTCAAGTGGTTAAGACGCTGAACTGCAGGCTGTGGAAGGTCACTAGTTCAGCAGTTCAAGACCCGGGTGCCGCAAGACGGGGTGAGCTCCTGTCTCTAGTTCCAGCTCCTGCCAACCTAGCAGTTCGAAAGCAAGAAATTGCAAGTAGATAAATAGGCACCACTTCAGTGGGAAGGTAACAGTGTTCCGTGCGCCTAGGTGTTTAGTCATGCCGGCCACATGACCACGGAAACATCTTCGGACAGCGCTGGCTCTTCGGCTTTGAAACGGAGATGAGCACCGCAACCCTAGAGTCGGATTCGACTGGCTTTCGAGCAAGGGAACCTTTACCTTTTACTAAAAGTATTAGGGTGGGGGGGGGGAGAGCTCATTTTCAGTATGATAATGACCCAAGGGAAGGGTAGGGGGATTAAAGCCCCTCTCCCACATCCTTTAATGCATTCTGTAAAAAAGAAAGAAAATGTTGGATGCCGTTATCAACAAAATGCACTTTGTTAGTAGCTGATGTGACAGACCACACTACCTGAGACCCTGGAGAGCAGCTGCCAGTCAGAGTAGACAATACTGACCTCAATGGACTGATGGTCTGATTCAGTGTAAGGCAGCTTCATACCTTATATTGGATCACCTCATTGGAACATCAAGGTCACTATTGTCTGCTCAGACTGGCAGCAGCTCTGACACAGGTTCGCAGGCGGAGGTCTTTCACATGACGTACTATCTGATCCTTTTAATTGGAGATGCCGGGGACTGAACCTGGGACATTCTGCATGCCAAGCAGAGGCTTTACCACTCGACCATGGCCTCTCCCTTATCAGTATATTATAAAACATGTCACCTTTCAATTTTTAAGAAGTTGGTATCATTGATCTTGCAGATATTGGATCTCAGCAGTGGCCCTGCCAGGGTGGGGCTTTGCAAACAGATTGTGAGAGGGAGGGCAGTAAGGGATTGACTCTCGTAGCATTTTCTTATATACCCAGAGTAATGTCAATCACCACTTTGGGATCAAGAAGGAATTTTTCTCCAGGCCAGATTGGCAAAGGGATCCTGGAGCTTTTTTGACTTCCCCTGGGCACAGAGGAGGGGTGACTGGGGGAGGTAGCTGTGAATTTACTGCATTGAGCAGGACATGATGACCCTTGGGGTCCCTTCCAGCTTTATGTTTCTATTTAGAAGGTCCCACATTCAGTCACTAGGGCTGCCAGACCCCCAGTCGGGATGAGATTTCCCTCAATTTTGGAGGCTCCAATCTGCAGCCGACCAGCTGGCTGGGGGGGGGAAGCCCCACTCTCGAACAGTCCCCTCCCGCATCAACGTCGTTGGCACAATGACATCAACTGGAAGTGACATCATCATGCCAGGCATGTCGCATGTTGATGCTCTAGCATTTTGGCCAAAACTCTATGGTTACCATAGAGGTTGTGGCCAACATGCTAGAGTGTTGATGCATGACATACCTGGCATAATGATGTCACTTCCGGGTGACGCCATCACGGTGCATGCGGAAGAAGATCCCAGGATGACCCCGGGAACCCCACGCTAAAAGCCAGGAAAGACCTGGCAACCCTATCAGTCACTGCCATTTTTAGTTGAAAGGGTCATGTAATTCATTGGAGAGAGGCTACTAGTCTGATGTATGAGGCAGCTTCATGTGTTCCATTAATGTACAGATCTGCCTTTAGGTGGGGGCCGGAGTAATTGCTAGCAGCTTCTCCTTGTGACTGCTGTCAACAAGAAGGACCATACGGGGAAATTTGGGGGGAACTGCTTAAGGGCAAACCAGAGAGCTCCCAACATGCCAAGCTGAAAGTAATCTGGGACATATGAGAGGTATTTAAAGAGGAGGGGGCATAAAAGATTGTCTTCAAAGTCACAAGTGCATTCTCAATGGTCAGATTTGACTTCCTTTCTGAGGTCACCGCCACATGGGCATATTTTGCAGGAGGCGGGATTCACCCAGAAGGTGGGCGGAGTCACCAGGGGGCGGGACTTCCTGGGACCTATATCAGCAGGGGTTCAACTTCTAGCTGGGCAATCTCAGAGTCCCTTTCCCTGCCACCATGCTGGGTTCCCGGGTGTGCTGGCAGCTGCTCCTTGGGTGGGCTCTGCTACTGGGCCAGCCGGTCTTTGGAGACTCAGGGTCGAGTTCCTCAGAACAGCGCTCTTTACAAGAGCCAGAGAATCCAGCGCCAGGGTCAGAAGAGCCAGAGAATGCAGTGGCAGAAGGGCCAGAGAAGCCACTGCCAGAATCGGAAGAACCAGAAGACCTGTTGCCAGAACTGGATGAGCCAGAACAGCAGGTGCCAGTGCAGGAAGAGCTGGAGGAGAAGCCACTGTCAGATGAAGAACTGGAGGAAATGGAGAAAGACGAAAGAGAATGGTTAAAGCAGGAGAAGGAGAAACCCTGTGGTTCCTGGTTAGACTATCTCCAGGCAATTGCCCTGGGCTACTATAACAAGGAACGGAAGGAATACTACAAGCCAGATGGGCGTGCAACTCTAAGAACCAAGGTAAGGGAAGCAGGTGCTGTGTGTGCCCTCGGTGGGGGGATGTATCCTGTTTAGGAAACTTGTTGCATTCCCTGGCCCATCTCAGCTTGTCCGTCACAGCACCATGTCTCTGTTCACCTTGATTCTTGAAAAGGAAGAGATAGCCAGACAGCACGATTTGTGTTTAGCTGATCCATATCTTTCTGAAACTTCGCCTACCTCCAGATTCCCACAAAGTCTTTACTTTAAAAAAAAAATAGAGGGGCTCTAGTCCTCATGATGGCTAGCAAAAAATTGGTGGAAGAGCCAGTTTGGTGTAGTGGACAAGTGAGCGAACTCTAATCTTGGAGAACCAGGTTTGATTCCCCCACTCCTCCACTCACAGCTGCTGGATGACCTTGGGCAAGCCATAGTTCTGTCAGAGGTGTTCTTGAAAAGAGTAGTTTCTGTCAGAGCTCTCTCAGCCCCACCTACCTCACAGAGTATCTGTTGTGGGGAGGGGAAGGGAAAGGAGTTTGTAAGCCGCTCTGAGGCTCCAAGTGAAGGGTGGGGTATAAATCCAATCTCCTCCTCCTCCTCCTCTTCTTCCAACTGCTGGATGACCTTGGGCAAGCCATAGTTCTTTCAGAGCTGTTCTCTCAAGGACAGTTCTGGAAAGAGCTCTCTCAGCCCCACCTACCTCACAGGATGTCTGTTGTGGGGAGGGGAAGGGGAAGGAGTTTGTAAGCCGCTCTGAGACTCTGAGTGAAGGGCGGGGTATAAATCCAATATGATTTCCGAGGACGGCAGGTATTATAGGTTCAGCTCAGGCCACCGTCCCCCAGTTTCCCTCTATGTATCTCCTACCCTCCCACCCCATTTCTTTATGTCCCCATTACATTTATTTATTTCATTAGACTTTATATCCCACCCTCCCCACATTGTAGGCTCAGGGTGGGTTCCAAACATATAGATCTGCACTTAGTGATACTCCTGCAGGCTGAAACCCCAGTTACATTTTAAAAAAGACGTCTGTCCTAGCTTATATCATTCAGGACTTTGGTTATCTGATGGCAGAATTCTGGGGATCAGAGAACTCTTGCTTCTCCCTTCACATGGAAGAAGGAATCTCAGAAAGCCAAGAGTCTCCTAGTGGGAGGGAGAGGGCAGGGTGGCCATCAGAGTAAAGGCAGTGTTTTGACTTCTAAAACGGAAGAGATTGGAGGTGAAACTTTGGGATCCAATCACTGAGTATCAGGGGTCGTTTCGTAGAAAAAGAGCTAGAGGAACTCATTAGCATAACTCATTAGCATATGCCACACCCCCTGACATCAGGGGCCCGGCGGTGGACCTGCAAGGCCAGCAGGAGTGCGAGGAAGCCCCGCCAAGGCCCTCCCTGGCCCCAGGCAGGCAGGGGTGGGGAGAGGCGGGGAGGAAGCAACTTACCCTCCCTCTTCTCCTGCCTCCTCCTGGCTGAATGAGGGCTGGAAGCGGGGAGGACGGAAGCAAGGGGTGGGGCTTTGTCATGTGCCCCGCCCCCTCACACCTCAACCAGGGGAACTGCGATCCCCCGCGATCCCCCCGAATCGACCTCTGCTGAGTATGGCTTCTTAGTGGTAAGGGAAAGTCAGAAAAATGTGCATGTTTCAAGGCTTGAGCCCAGACACTGATAGTAAACCCTGGAGCTCAGATGAAGGCCAGGCTAATAGCAAAATTGGTTCCCCACACACACCGCTTTATCTTCAGGGCACAAATGGCTGGGGCAACCAGCCCAAGTTGGAAATGTCTCTTGTTCTTTGTTTCTAGAAAGCCATTGGGACAATGATATCCCTCAAGGTGGTGTTGATGAGAACGAACTGCACAAGGGACCAGCTGCCAGAATACACGCGTCACGGCAGACTTCCGTTCCACATATATCGTTTTTATGCTAAATTTCCGGAAAACTGTGAGTCACTGAAGGGTTCTGAACAGGTGAGAGGCCCCCAGCTTTCTTTTAAACAGACAGTAGATGTCTTTGTCAGCCCAGAAAGCAGCCAAGAGCACCTTGATGTTGAACTGCATTACCTGTGTAGAGAGCCGGTTTGGTGTGGTGGTTAGGAGCGCAGACTCCTGTTTTGATTGGCAACTTTTTGATTCGCAAACCAAGAATGCAAAGCTATAATTTTGCAAGAACCAGTCAAGCTCTAATACAAAGAAATACTGGTATGCTGAGACACTATAACAATGCTCATAAAGTGCTAGTGAAATACTTCTTTACACAGAGAGTGAGGGAAATGTGGAATCTGGTGCCAGAGGATGTGGTGATGGCCGTAGACATGGACGGCTTTGAAAGAGGATTAGACGGATTTGTGGAGAAAAGGTCTATCCGTGGCTACTAGCCATGGTGGCTAAAGGGAACCTCCATGTTCAGAGGGAGAGAACTCCTGAATACCAGTGCCAGGAGGCCGCATCAGAGGAAGGCTTCAGCCACTTTGCCCTGTTCGACCTGCAGAGGAACAGGTTGACGATTGTGTGAGACAGGATGCTGTTCTTATGGCGATGCTCTGCTTTCTGCCGCATTTCAATGTACTATTCAATGCTTTAGGTAAGCAGCACAGAGATGGGCTGTGTATCTTTTTATCTTGCAGTTCTGGACTTTATGTTCTTTGCATAGTGAATGACAGGAAGGTGGGACAAAAGCAGGGGTCATTTCATAGAAAAAGAGCTAGGGGAACTCACTAGCATAACTCATTAGCATATGCCACACCCCCTGACATCAGGGGCCCGGCGGTGGACCTGCAAGGCCAGCGGGAGTGCGAGGAAGCCCCGTCAAGGCCCTCCCTGGCCCCAGGCAAGCAGGGGTGGGGAGAGGCGGGGAGGAAGCAACTTACCCTCCCTCTTCTCCTGCCTCCTCCTGGCTAAATGAGGGCTGGAAGCGGGGTGGCCGGAAGCAGGGGGCGGGGCTTCATCGTGTGCCCCGCCCCCCGCTCCTCACCCGGGGGAACTGCGATCCCCCGTGATCCCCCCCGAATCGACCTCTGGACAAAAGTATTTTAAATAAACAAGGCCCAGTTTTTTACATAATGTGTAAACCTTATCATAATACATAATACACTTTTTACATAATGTGTAAACCTTATCTGGTGTGCGCCAGAAGAACACAAGGAATGATTGGGAGTCCCGCCTCCGGCAGCCAGGCAGGACCCGGCACCCCCTAGACTCATTTGGAACAAACTGAATCCCCACTTGGGTCGGGAAGCTCAGTAAGGGAGCTGCAGCCAGCTGCTCTACCTGAAAGGGCTATTGTGAGGGAGGGGAGATGGAGTGCCCCTTCATGCCCCTCCTTGTGTTCCTTAGAGAAGCAGCGCTATAAAGGTGGTGCTGGTAACACAGGGTTAGATCTGGAAATCCACTTGCACAAAGGTTAATGAGTCTAGCTTGTTTCCCCCTTCCCACAGTAGCCGTTTTAGACCCCAGAAAAGTCTATTTCCTGGAGCCAGGGGACCCATGTGGGTTAATGGATTGTAGTTATGGGCATTGTTTAATGGGCATGCTTTAGTTGGTGGTGTGCACACTTAGTAACTGGAGCCAGTGTGGTGTAGTGGTTAAGAGTGGGTGCCACAAATCTGGAGAACAGGGTTTGATTCCCTCCTCCTCCTCCTCCACATGAAGCCTGCTGGGTGACCTTGGGCCAGTCACAGTTCTCTCAGCACTCTCTCAGCCCCACCTGCCTCACAGGGTGCCTGTTGTGGGGAGGGGAAGGGAAAGGCAATTATAAGCCACTTTGATACTCCTTAAGGGTAGGTTTAAGGAGCTGCAGTGGCTCAAGTGGTTAAGACGCTGAACTGCAGGCTGTGGAAGGTCAGTAGTTCAGCAGTTCAAGACCCGGGTGCCGCATGACGGACCGAGCTCCCGTCTCTAGTTCCAGCTCCTGCCAACCTAGCAGTTTGAAAGCAAGACATTGCAAGTAGATAAATAGGTACCACTTCGGTGGGAAGGGAACAGCGTTCCGTGCTCCTTGGTGTTTAGTCATGCCGGCCACATGACCACGGAAACGTCTTCGGACAGCGCTGGCTCTTTGGCTTTGAAACGGAGATGAGCACCGCAACCCTAGAGTCGGATTCAACTGGCTTTCGAGCAAGGGAAACTTTTACCTTTACTTTAAGGGTAGGTTTGCCAACCTCCAGGTGGTGGCTGCAGATACCCTGGGGTTACAACTGATCTCCAGGCAGCAGAGATCAGTTCACCTGGAGAAAATGGCTGCTTTGGAAGGTGAGCTCTATGGCACTGTATCCTATTGAAGTCCCTCCCCTTCCCAAATCTCCCCTTCCTCAGGCTCCAGCAGCCCCCCAAATCTCCAGGTATTTCCCAACCCAGAGCTGGCAACCCTACGTATGGTAGAGAAAAGCAGGATATAAAAGCCTACTCTTCCTCTTCTTCAACATGCAAATCTGTTTTAGAGATTTGACTTCTGCTAGACCCGGGTGGGTTAAGCACCCCTTGCTGTCCAGGATTGCTAGGAAACCCGGCATTACTCTAATCTTTCAAGCCAGGATGCTATGTGTTGTTGTGCATTGCTAGATTTGAGCCCAGTAGGACCTTAGAGGCCAAAAAGATTCTTTGGGGTATGAGCTTTTGAGTATCAACGCTCCCTTCCTCAGATACAAGTAGAAATGGAGACCCCTGAGTCCTTATACCCCAGTCAGAAGGTGGGAAGAGTGTTGCAAAGAAAGGGATCCAGATGCAGAGGTGCAATGCAAAATGTAAACAGCTTGATCAAAGCCTTTCTCCCCTGCTTGAATCATTTCTCCCCAGATTGAATACATTTCGCATTGTACCTCTGCATCCCTGACTCCTTTCTTTGCAGCAGTCCTCCCATCTTCTGACTGGGATATAAGGACTCAGGGGTGGGGTCTCCATTCCTACTTGTATCTGTGGAAGGGAGCTTTTTTGACTGTTGAAAGTGCATACCCCGAAAATCTTGTTGGTCTCTAAGGTGCCCGGGAAATCGAATCTACTTGTTCTGCTGCAGACCAACAACACGGCTGAAATGATGTATCGTCACAGCCCCTGAAATAATGAAAGCTGTGGTTTTCTAGGACACCCAGTATCAGTTGCTGTGTTTGCTCAACAAAGGTCCCTGCCACATGGCAGGAAAAACACTGGCCAAAGTGCGGCTTTTAAAGCCGCACCAAAAAAGAGACGCCGCGGCGGGATCCCACGATCAGATGCCGGGGAGGAAGAGACGATTGGGAGGGGGAGGCTGCTGAACTGCGTATGCTCGAGCATGCGCAGTATGGCCGGAGGGGGCGGGGATACACCGGCGGAAAGACGTGCCGGCGATCCCACGGCCGGCAGTGATGCAGCCTTTCGGAAAGAACCACCTAGGTAGGTGGTTCTTTTTTGCTGCGGGGTTTGGCCGGGAGGGGCGGATTGGGAACGGGCTGGGAACGGGCGCAGCATGATTCCCAGATGTTGCTGTGGGATCGTGCCCGTTTGCTGCGGCCCCGATCCGTCCCTCTCCCGGCCCAAAACCCCTCGTGTGGACACAGCCAAAGTTGCTGACTCTCTTCTGGGGCAGTCAGCACCCTGCTGAGAGAGATAGGCAGCTGGTCCTTCGCAAAGCTCAGCAGCACCTCAGGATCACCATCTCACCCCCTGTTTTTGTTCTTCCCTCTCCCCAACCCCCCTTTTCCCCACATACAGGAATGCACCTTCACATTATTTGGCGATCAAAGGAGAGGGAGTTTTCATGATATGGCTGTCGTGTCTGACAAATGCAGTCCGATGCATCCGAATGAGGAGAGACACCAAAGACCCCGCGTCACCTTCAGATCATAGTGGCCAATGGTTGGGGGTGGGGGAAGCAGGGTAGAAAAAACATCTGTTTAGTTTGCCCTCTTCCTTCTACCCCCTGACATAATCTGTTAGATGCATATCTGAAAACTGTCCCACTGAGAATTCCCCCCTTCCTCCCCCCAGAATCTCTAGCTGATTTCTTACCCATCCCGTTTCTCGAGTCACATCTACTTGCTTTGAAATAGAAAAAATAAAATTAACTTGCTCAAGCATCATCATCATCATTATCATTATTGTTGTTGTTGTTGTTTTTATTATTATTATTATTGAAGTTATTATTATTATTATTATTGAAGAAAGACAGGCAAAGTGAAAACGACAAGCTTGTACAACTTTGCATGACAGATGAGAGAGAAAATGATGAGAGAGGAAGAAACACCCCCCCCACCAAGAATCGGATCACAGAAAAAGAGTTATCGTTACCACTACTGTCTTTCCAAAATACAATCAGAAGCTCTCTGGAAGTACTAAACTTTGCTGTCTATAGCCTTATCCTCAAAATTTCACTTAATTTGGAAGAGTTTTGCTGCCGCCCTGTGAACAGTGCAATCCTATGCAGTTACTCTAGCCTAAAGCCACTGATTTCATTGGGTTTAGACTGGAATAATTCTGCATAGGATTGCATTGTTAGTTTCTTCCCTTCCTTTATTATAATCTGCTTCCACTGTGAAATAAAGAATGGTGGTATAGAAGTATGCAAATCAATAAACCCAAATCAAGGTTTTTCCCCACAACCAGCATTTTTGCTGCTGTTGGTACAGCTGATATCAAAGAACACTGTAGACGTGGTTCATATTTTTAAAGAACTAAGAAGTAATATCTAGAGAAAACTGCCGTTTGGAGTTCTAGTGGGGAAATGGGTGATAACTGGGCATTTGGTCTGTTTTGTGATACAAAACCATGTGCTGTAACTGTCTCTATTAACCAGGGGCAGTCAGTCTTTTCTGATTTCTGCCCTCAGAAAATCGCTGCCTCTATCCCCCCCCCTATTTTTACGTAGGGGTGTGTGTGTGCAATATACCATACTAAAGTATTCATTTCAGTTACAGGGCTCTTTTTGTAGAAAAAGACCAGCAGGAACTCTTTAGCATAATAGGCCACACCCAACAGCAGAAACACATTAGCATATTAGGCCACACCCCTGACAGCACAGCTCATTAGCATATTAGGCCGCACCCCCATGTTATCAGAAGTGTGGCCATCCAGCCACACCGACCTTTTGCTTCTTATTCTGTTTACCTTGTTTGTTGTCAAAACCCAGGGCTTTTTTTGTGGCAGGAACTCCTTTGCATGTTAGGCCATACACCCCTAATGTAGCCAATCCTAATGAGTCTCTGCTGTTGGGTGTGGTGCCTATTATGCTAATGAGTGCCTGCTGAGCCAGCCGGAACTCCGTTCCTGTGCGTTCAAGCCCAAAAATAGCCCTGGTTGTCAGTGTTGCAGTCTGGAAGGATTCATACCCTCCCTGGATAAAACCTCTGAGGATGTAAATAGATGTCTCTTTCCTTGAGCAGGATGTCCAAAATCTTGATGAACCTGTGGGCACATCTGGAATGCTGGGATCAACTAGAGGGCACTACAAAATGGCTGCCATGAAAACGGGGGCCAGTCACAAAACACTGGAAGGTTCCAACCCCAGCTCCACCTCTATTGGAGGTAGCTGTTTTTGAATGGGTGCTCCTCCCACAGACATAAAGGCCTTCTACATCAAGGAGGCCAAGGCAAGCCAGGATTGTTTCTTTGCTATGGAGGAGAGATGCTTTGGCAAAGGAAGGAGCAAGCACAAAAAAATATGGCAGGTGCCACGCCATCCATGGAAACGACATTGGTGACCTCTGCTCTAGCACATGTCTTTGCAAATGCATGGACAGGAACACCGATGTGCAATGCAGTGCACAACCCGCCATTGTGCATCTTGCAGCTGCCAGGGAATATCTGTTCCACAAAGGAACCATTTCCAGATTTATTTCAACCAGTCTTGTTGGATAATTTGGCAGTTAAACGTAATGATGCAGCGCACACTTGTAAATTAGCTAAGGCCACGATCAGATGTGCCTTTAGATCCGACTCAGCTGTGAACGCCTGATGGATCTAAAGGGCACGATCAGACAACAACATCTGGGAAAGGTCCCACAGCTGTCAGCACCCCATGCTGCCCCGCCATGGAAGTGGAGTTAAAAGACACAGGGGAAAGTCCGGTTCGAATGCTTGCCGACAGGCTATGGACAGACTTTCCCACGTCTGATTGCTCAAGCATGCTCTCGTGCTGTTGGAATGGTCTGCTCATTCCATCCCAACTCAGTGCCCTTTTCCCCCTTTGCTTAGCAGTATGCACATAACTGCATACTCCATGGGAAACCCTGAGTGCGAAGGTGCAATTCCTCATTTATGCGCATGGGAAGCAAAAGGCAAAAAACCCCTCACTTGGCCGAGCGTGCTGTCTGATTGGGCAGTGACTGGCTGAGCCCACAGCTACAAAGGATGTGTGATTGTGCATGGCCTAAAAGAAAGTTACTGAGAAAATTAGGAAGGGTTACATGAGTGAATAAAACAAAAAACAGTCTATGTAGCTAGTTATATATTTCTAGTTACTGTTTATTCCAAGATGGATTCTAGCACTCTGATCTCTAAACAAAGGGAGGAAGAAGAAACCCCAAAATGCCTACTTGCATAATATCAGGTGATATCACCCAACTATGAATTGACCAATGTCCAGGATAAAGGTCACTTCACTATGCACAGGGCATCCTCTTCTAGCACAGGAACTTCTACTCAACGTCTGGGGTCAGGAAGCAATTTTTCTCCAGGCTAGTTTGGCTGGAGATCCTGGAGGTTTCTTTGTCATCTTCTGGGAGTGGAACAGAGGTCACTGGGGGTGTGGAGGGGAAAGTATTTTTGAATTTCCTGCATTGTGCAGGGAGTTGGACTAGATGACCCTGGAGGTCCCTTCCAATTCTATGATTCTATGATCTCATAGGTCCTAAGCCTACTGAGTATTAATTAGCATACACAAACAAAAAGTTAACTCTCTCATGACATCAGGAAGTGAACTTGCAAAAACTCCAAGCAGTCTGCTAATATTTAGGCCAAGGGATTCTCTCCTTTCCTGTAAGCAGGCGTCATTTCCTGCAGGAGCACACAGGAGCAGAGCTCCGGTAGTAAAGAGCAACAAGCCCCACCCCCTGCTTCCAGCAGCCCTCAGTCAGAGCAAGAAGCAGCCAGGTGAGTTGCAGAGCCCCTCCCTGCCCCCCCGGTCCAAAACAGTCCAGTGGCACCTTTAAGACCAAGTTTTATTCAGGTACAAGCTCTCCCTCCTCTGTGAGGACAGATCTGCATGTGTCCCCCCCACCAATAGCTAGCAATCCAAAACAGTCCAGTGGAGCCTGAGCAGTGGGTGTTGCCTTCTGACACACTTCCGGTGATGTCAGGGGGTGTGGCATATGCGAAGTGGCATAAGTTATGGTAATGAGTTATGCTACTGAGCTCCTGCACCTCTTTTTCTACAAAATGACCCCTGCCTGTAAGGCTTTGAAGGAGATTCCATGGCTGGCTACAGTTTTCAGGGAGCTGTGTGGGACAAGATACTCTCTACCACTGCCTCACCTTCAGCCTCTATACGTGCACCCTTTGTGCTCAAACCAAGGGTTGGGATTACATGTCTAGGTTATCTAGGTTATCCTTTTTCCTAATGATTTTAAGCCCCCACCCAGGAAACCTGGGACCTTACTGAAAATTTTTAGTGTGTACACACACACACACCCACCCTGCTTAGCTTCCAAGATCTGATGAGATTGGGCTAGTCTGAGTCATCCAGGTCGGGGCATACCCTTTGATGGTACAAAACAAATACTGGGTCTGATCACACGCACAATTAGCTGTGTGAGACAGACGAATGCTGGGCGGATTTAACGGGCGTGATCAGACGTGAGCATCTAGCCAGTGTCCTGCACCCATCGGCAACCCGTTTCGCTCCACTGCAAGAGCAGAGTTAAAAGACACTGGGGAAAGTCCACTATCTAATGGTTTTGTGACGGGCCGCCGATGGACGTTCTCCGTGTGATCGCTCCAGCACGCTCCTCTTGCATCCCTGCTTCCTCGTTGAAGTGCACTGGAAACACGCGCCGACGAAAACAACACTGGTTCACCGCCGTCGCGTCTGATCGCGTAGTGGCGGGTCAAATTGTGACGGCGCAAATAGCCTTGCCTCCCCCCTGCATTACCTGGCACGTGTGACCGGAGCCACTGATCATTAAAATATGTATGCAAATGCTGTCAAGTTGCAACTAACTTATGTTGACCCCAACAAGGGGCTTTCGAGACAAGGGAGAAGCAAAGGTGGTTTGCCATTGCCTTCCTCTGCAGAGGCTTCTTTGCTGGTATCCTATCTATGTAGCAACCCTACTTGGCTTCCAAGATCAGATGAGATCAGGCTATACCATGCCACCTTCCCTCTAGTTAATTGAAATAGAAAGCCTAAAATATTCCCAACGTTCACAGTATCGAGACCCCACTCCAAAGTCTCTTGATTCAAGGATGGCCTCACAGTTCTCGGAGGACTGCTGCTGATGACCAGTACCCTTGTGTGTTGTCCAGAAGGGCAAAGGTAATGCTCCTAGTGAACTGCAGCATGAAAACGTCCTGGAGAACAGTACAAGATGAAACTGCCTGGCCGTCGATAGCTCCTCCTGCCTCTTCTCAGGACAGTCTGTTCCCCAAATCAGTATACACATGTCAAGGCTGTAGTGTGGAAAGTCGTCTCCCGGTTTGCACGGAACAAACGTGTATTTGGGGCATGTGTATACGTGGAATCTTAGCCAAAGTTCAGATTCAGATCAACACTTGGAGAGCAAGGGGGGGAAAGACTCTTGAACAAAGGGGCTTTTTATTTCGCAAACAGAAAAAGGGATCAAATTAATCTATGCAATATAGGAACAATAGCCATTCAAATTACAGAATGGAAAAAGCAGTGCAGTAAGTGACACATAAAAACCTATCCCTAGAAAACCTAAAGGGGGGATAAACCTCTCAAAGTGAGGGAGACTTATCAGCCTGTTCCTGCAGATAAGGGGGAAGCCCCTGTCCTCCTGGGGAAGAGGCTGCTTCTA